AACAACAGAAAGAACTGGTCAGTTGCTGGAGTGTGAAGTGTTGAATCTGAGGGACAAAGGGGTGGATTCAGTCCAGGCTAACATGATGCAGAGGCGAAGGGACCCCAGGACCGCCCAGCCCTACAGCTGGTCCCCTGTTTCAGATAAGGCGGGTGCCATCATTTCCCGGGGGCTGCTGCAACCAAAGTGCCACAAGGCTGCGTAGCTCGAACCACCAGAAGGATTCCTTTCTCCCGCAGTTCTGGAGCTAGAAGTTCAGAATCAAGGTTTGGTTTCCTTGAGCTTGTGAGGAACTTCTGCCACGCCCTCTGCCTGGCTCCTGGCGCCTTTGCCGCGACCCTTGATTGCTCTTGCCCGTGGCCACTCACCTGACCCTGGCCTCTGTTGTCACCTGCTTCTCCCCATCTCGTGTCCTCTTCTCTTCTACCCCCCTGGGGACCAGCCCAGCCATGGCTGGACTAAGGGCCACATACTCCAGCATGACCTCATCTTAGGTTATTCTTCTGCAACAACTCATATTTTCACATAAGTACACTCTGAGTCCGAGTAGGAATTCTATTTTTTTATTTTATATTTTGAGGACCAAGAAAGCTGATGTTTACTACTTTGTTGGCACAATAGGCGAGGATGGAGGACTTACTGTTCTGGAAAATGCCATCGGTCTTTAATAATCAGCAGAAATACAGGCTTCGGAAAGGGCAGGTTTCTCAGCTTGACAATTTCTGTTCACTACAGTTGGGATGGATCTTATCGTCTATCTCTGCTGAAGACAATTTCCTGTGACCTCTTACCCAGAGACCTTCACCCCAGTAGCGCGAGCCAACTCCTGTCAGCACCAAGGAAACAAAGGACTCAACCGGACCCCTTCCCACCACTGGCCTGAGGCAGGTGCAGGTGTTATTCTCAAAGGAGTGGAGGATTGTTTAAAGGAGACAGGTATTATTTTTGCTGGTTTTTTTTTTTCAGGCCATTCCTCTGTACTATGCCCCACTGCCCCAATTCCCTTAACTATCTAAATGGAAGAGGCGAGAGTGGTCAGTCTGCTATTCCCAGGCTGATGTGGTGGTGTCTCAGGATGGGAAGGTATATTTTGTGTTATTGTCATTGCAAGCTTTGGCAGGATATTTACAACAGATTACCAGGTGAAAGGGTTACGAGCAATAAACTACAACGTGAGGATTGGTTGAGCAAAATGGACAGGCCACCTGGCCACACGACGTCTGGACACAGGGCTGGCTAGAAAGAGCCACGGGACCTCTGAGTGCAGAGCGATTAGTTGGCACCCTATGGTGATCCCAGGAATAATCACACGCAGAACGACAAGTTAGGAAGACAACGTAGCAGCAAGCAGATGAAAGAAGAGTGCAACAGCCCGGGGGATTCCTCACTAGAAGGTTGTCTCTCCATCCTATAGACAGAATGTAACTCAAAAAGCTTACCATAAATATTCCATTTCATTTTTTCCCTTTCCCTAAACAATAGATTGGCTAAAGGCTGGCCCCTCCACAAGGGGTTGTCCTCTCTTCCATGGGACCTTTCATTAACCTTCTGGTATGGTTTTCATTTCTGCCATTTCCATTGAGGGTGAGCTGTTCGGAGGCCAACTTCACGGGGTCCCCTGCCCTCCTTCTGCTTCCAGTGGGGCGGGGCCCTGGCAAGGGGCGGACTTTCCACCACCGGCGGTCGCACCCGCCCGCTCATCTGACGCACTGCTTTCTCCTCTTTCTTCCTTTCCTTTCTTTCTTTCTTTTCTTCTTTCTTTTCTCTCTTTTTTCTTTTCTTCTTCTTCTTTCTTTCTCTTCCTTTCTTCTCTTTCTTTCTTTCTTTCTTTCTTTCTTTTCTTCTTTCTTTCTCTTTTCTTCTTTTCTTCTTTCTTTGACAGAGTCTCACTCCGTTGCTCAGGCTAGAGTGCCGTGGCATCAGCCCAGCTCACAGCAACCTCAAACTCCTGGGCTCAAGCAATCCTGCTGCCTCAGCCTCCAGAGTAGTGAGGACTACGGCATGTGCCACCATGCCCGGCTGATTTTTTCTATATATATTAGTTGGCAATTAATTTCTTTCTATTTATAGTAGAGACGGAGTCTTGCTCTTGCTCAGGCTGGTTTTGAACTCCTGACTTTGAGCAATCCGCCCGCCTCGGCTTCCTAGGCATGGGGCTGAGGTGAAAGTAGATGACCAGAAGCTGAAACTGAGCAAGAATGAGCGACAGAGACGCTGGAAGGCTGAGAAGCAGGTGGCAGAGAAGGAGCCGAGCAGAAAGAGCCCAGTGAGAAGCGGGTAAGCCAGGCTACGGGGCCACCCACCCGCCACTGCCAACTCTGGGGGTTCCCCAGGGGAGAGCCTGAACCAAAATGACACCATAAGATCCGCAGTCCAGCCGCCTCCAGCAAAAGGCTGGCAGAAGACTGGAACCCACACAAGTTCCACAGCGACATCTCACTCGCCTCATCCACCTGCAGTCACCTGCAGCCTGGGGACCACCCGACTGATGTCGCCTCAAGTGGCAGGTAGATCCTGGGGGAACGCTCCTCCTCTGTGACCTTTGTGGAGAAGGGGTCAAGTTGCAGGTCATGGCCAATTCCAGGAATCAGAAGAAGAATGTGTTCATATCGGTAACAAATGGCCGCGGGAGACATAGCTGGAGTTCAGGAGAATCCCGGGAAACCAAGGAGGGTGAGCTGCACATCACGCCCCACAGGGTCACGCTGCTGTCTTCCGCTGGCATAAGCTACTCGTCCTCACTTCAGCCTCGAGGATACCAGGTCACTCACTCATGAGCTCTTTACATCTTAAAGATATTAACTCCTGAAAACACACACATGTATACTAGAAGAAAAGGTAAAAAGACGGTCAGAGAATATTGGTAGAATAGACAGCAACTTCAATGTGCACATTAGCTTCACACTTAGCGTCTTTAAAATTTTATTGATGCATGGTAGATGTACATGGTTTTGAGGTACATGTAATAATTAAACATGCATATAATTTGCAAGGATCAAATCAGTGTACTTGGGATATCCATCACCTTAAATATTTGTCTTTTCTTAATGCTAGATACATTCAAATTATTCTCTTTCTTTTTTTTTTTAATTTTTTTTTGTGCTTGGGGAGAGATGTAATAAATTATTCTCTTCTAGCTATTTTGAAATGTGCAATAGATCATTGCAAACTGTAATCACCCTACTGATCTACTTAACACTAGGTCTTGTTTCTTCTATCAAACAAGACCATATATTTGTATCCATTAACCAACTTCTCTTTGCCCTCCCCTCCCTCCCACCTTCTTGGCCTCTGGTAAACACCAATCTACTGTCTATCTTCATGAGATCTAGTTTTTTTAGCTCCCACATATGAGTGAGAACATGCGATATTTGTCTTTCTGTGCTTGGCTTATTTCACTTAACATAATCACCTCCAGTTCCATCCATGTTGCTGCAAATGACAGGATTTCATTCTTTTTTGTGGCTGAATAATATTCCATTGTGTATATATACCACATTTTCCATTAAAGTGAAAAATAAATCCAACTTAGGTTGATTTGAAGTCAATATGATCCTTCCACATTGTGGCTACTGTGAATAGTGCTGTAATAAAAATGGGAGTGCAGATATCTTTTTGATATATTATTTCTTTTCTTTTGGATATATACCCAGTAATGGAATTGCTGGATCATATGGTAGTTCTATTTTTAGTTTTTTGATTAACCACCACACGTTTTTCCATAGTGGCTGTACTAATTTACATTCCCAACAGTGTATGAGGGTTCCCCTTTCTCCACATCTTCCCAGCATCTGTTATTGCCTGTTTTTTTTTTTTTTGATAAAAGCTATTTTAACTGGGGTGAGATGATATCTCACTGTTGTTTTGATTTGCATTTCTCTGATGATTAGTGATGTTGAACATTTTTCATACACCTGTTGGCCATTTGTGTGTCTTCTTTTGAGAAATGCTAATCTAGATCTTTTGCCTATTTTTAATCAGATTGATTATTTTATTGCTAGTGAGTTGTTTGAACTCCTTATATATTCTGGTTATTAATCCCTATCAGATGGGGAGTTTGCAAATATTTTCTTCCATTCTGTGGGTTTTCTTTTTTTTTTTTTTTTTTTTTTTTTGAGACAGACACTTCATTACTCTGGTAGGTTTTCATTTCTGACAATTTCCATGAGGTGTGAGCTGTTCGAGGCACTTCACGGGGTCCCTGCCACTCCTCTGCTTCCAGCTGGGGCGGGAGCCTGGCACAGGCGGACTCACACACGGCGGTCGGCACCGCCCCGCTCATCTGACGCACTGCTTTCCTCTTTCTTTCTTTCTTCTTTTTCTTCTTTCTTCTTTCTTTCTCTTCTTCTCTTCTTTCTTTCTTTCTCTTTCTTTTTCTCTTTCTTCTTTCTTTCTTCTTCCTTTCCTTCTTTCTTTTCTTTCTTTCTTCTTCTTCTTCTTTTCTTTCTTCTTTCTTTCTTTCTTCTTTCTTTCTTTTTGACAGAGTCTCACTCCGTTGCTCAGGCTAGAGTGCCGTGGCATCAGCCAGCTCACAGCACCTCAAACTCCTGGGCTCAAGCAATCCTGCTGCCTCAGCCTCCAGAGTAGCTTGAGACTACAGGCATGGCCACCATGCCGGCTGATTTTTCTATATATATTAGTTGGCCAATTAATTTCTTTCTATTTATAGTAGAGCGGAGTCTTGCTCTTGCTCAGGCTGGTTTTGAACTCCTGACTTTGAGCAATTCTGCCCGCCTCGGCTCCTAGAGTGCTAGGATACAGCCTGAGCCACCGCGCCCGCCTCCTCTGCTTCCATAGGCGCCGCGGTGTCCTGCATCCTTTACCTCCGGTGGTGCCTAGCTTCGTCCCATAAGCTACTTCTTAGGGGCTTAGCTTAACCACTGCTGCTGATAAGCCA